CTCCTGGGCCCCTCCCTACCTCAGCCTGTAAATTATTTTAAATTATAAGGACTGCATGGTAATTTATAGTTTATACAGTTTTAAAAAATCATTATTTATTAAATTTTTGGAAGCATCCTGTGTGCCGGCACTTCAGTCATTTTCCCCTGGGGGACCATCTGCCAGTGTGGGGACACACAGGGTAGGTTGTCCACAGCACCGCCTGGCTCCCTCTCAGGCGCGCCTGCAACCCCCAGCCCACCCCGGCCCACCCCAGTGCACCCCAGTCCACCCCAGCCCGGCCTGCGACTTCAGGGAAGGCTCCCTGGTCTCAGATATTAGCCTAAGCCGCTGTGATTAGGAAGGGAAGTCGGCTGGCTTGCAACTTCGTTCTGCATTCCACAGCCAAAACCACCTAATCCTTGGATTACCTACCCCCAGCCTGGATCCACAAGCCTTGATTGCTCCACTGGGGACGTTTGTGGGGCCTCATCAGAAGGCTCTGTCCTGGAGGGACCCATGTACTCTATAGATAGGAGGGAGCTCGCACCGAGGACCTGTGAGGCTGGCTCGCTTCTAGGGGGAGATCTGCTTTTTGCTGAAAAGCTGTCTGATAGAGTCGTAACAAAATAAGCTCCTGAGGCCTGTCCCCGTCTACTTGATTTCATGTTACGATTGCCTTGATACTAATGGCTGGTCCTCTAGCTTTCCCTCCAGTGGCCTCCTGCAGAAAGGCGTCACTACCAGAGGAACTGTTAGGGCCTCCAACACGCTTGCCACCCACTAACAGCCCTACGGCAACTTCCAACCGCCCCAACGTCAGCTTGTACTCAGGAGAGCCAGAGACCGGCCTGGAAAGAACTTTGAAACACAGTTTATTCCACAAGTGACCAAAGGTAGACAGGGTCATGTCATGGGACCCTCAGAGAAGATGGTCGGGGAAGAAAAGACAAAGATCAATGGAGTAAAACCAACGCAGATAAACCAGGCAGGGTGGGCCAGGCCAGCAGGGAACAATGGCTTTCTGCTCCTCCCTGACAGGGGACACAAACAGGAGAGAGAGAGGGGAGCAGAGGGGGTGCGGGAAGGGAGCATGGCAGAGAAAGAGGAAGGTGCGCCAGCCTCCCCTGCCTCTAGCACCCTGGCTGTCTTCTTTTTGGGGAGGGGGGTGGAAAGATGGGGGGATATGCTCAAGAACACTGACTATGCCAAGAGCATCTCATCTCAGAGAGAGGCAGAGGTGACAGAGGGACTGCAGGGTACAGCCTGGCGCGGGGCTCCACTCAGCTGCGTGCTGCCACCTTCCCCTGCAACTTTTTTTGTTGGTTTTATATTTTCCACGAAGGCACAATTTCCAACTCCTCCCCAGACAGATCACTTACACTGAAATGGAACTTTGCTTTCCCACCCATTCCATTCCCCCCAGGGTGAAATGTCTACCCTAGTTTTTATGAGAGCAGGCCCAAATTGTCCCTCTGATAAAAAAAGCAAATGGTCATACTTATTTCTCTAACTCGGGCCCACCCCACCCCCAATCCAATCCAAATAGGGCAAATTAGAAACATAGAGAGCTTTGGCACAAGAGACATTTGATTAGGGTAAAAGCATGATGAAATGTGGCCTGTTTTTCCTATCAAAGCTACTGCAGTTGGAGTAAAGATTTATGTTAAAGAAACACCAACCAGAACATTCTGTGCTGAGATACTTGGTCAAATAAAGGCTGCGGCAGGGAGCCCTCCCACTGACCTGTGCCTGTGGCTCTTTACTGGGCACCAGTGCCAGTGGCCTCGACCTTCCTGGCATCTCTTACAAGCCCTTTCCTCCTAGAGCTGGACAGGCCTTCTGGGCCCCGGATGCGGTGAGTGAGGGCTGGCGAGGGAGGCTCCCAGGCTGGAAGGTTTGGTCTGCACCAGCGTGGAGAGTCTGGGAAGCTACTCCATACTGCAAGACGCCGGGACCTGCAAAGCGAGTCTCAGACTCACCTGCCCGCCTAGAGGGAAGGCAGCCCCCTACCAACACTGCTGCCTTCCTCAATGACAGCTTTTGCTCTAGGCCCTGTCCCCAGAGTCACTCCCTGGGAGCCAGTGTTCTGACACACCTCCGGGATGATCAGTTTGGCTGAACAGAACCAGCATGATCCAAAAACAACCCCAAGCCTGGTGGTTACTGCAACACGGACTCTGGCCCCCGCTCCTCCACAGGGGACAGTTCTGGCTTTCAGACCCACCCAGGCTGCCCCCTGAGAGGCTGGCCTGGGTCACCGGGCCCCAGATACTTGAACACATGAAAACAAAAAAAAAGTTTAAAACCGCCCGTTATGTTCTGCTGTGGAACAGCAGCTGCACATCCTGCAAACGTTGCCTTCACTTGCCTCACTGAGGTTTTCCTGCCAGGGGTCCCCCAAAGCCCAGAGGTCAGAGCGGATCCCTTCCCCTCAGCAGCGTCCGTCACTGGAAGGCGTCCCCCCAGCACAAAAAGGAACACGAGAGCATACCCCAGCTGGCCCCGGCCCGACACAGTCCAGCTCTCCTAGCGAAGCTTGGTGCAAAATTCCTGATTCAACCAATACGGTGCCTGACGCTAGCTCATGTTCCAAGCGTGTCCCTCTGACCCTTCCTCTCCGGCCAGGGCCCCAGCCTCCCCTACATCTGCTGTCCCCCCTCACAGAAGTCCCCCGGTGGGGGACAGATGTTCAGCAGCAGACCTAATGGCTATTTTCATTCCCATGGAGCCCAGGGATGTCCTTTCATCTCACCGCTTGCTCCTCGGCGTCATCTGCATGACGGAGGAGGGTCTGCCCCAGACCTGGAGTGCAGGGGACAGAGGGACAGGGTCTGCCCCTCCTGGGCCACATGTTCTCCACTGCTTGGAGAAAAGGGACAGTTAGGCTGGGGCAGCAGAACTGAGTGGAAGTGTGGGCCCTCCAGAGCACAGCGTCCCAACTCGGCAGTGACCGTGGAGTCTCCCCCACAGGCCCGAATGGAAGAGTAGGAAGCCCAGGCCCCTGGTGCCCAGGAGGCAGCCCGAGTGACAGTGTAAGCGCTGGGCATGGTGTCAGCACAGCTAGGTTCCAGGCCCAGCTCCCCATTCCTATCCCTGAAGGCTTGGCGAGCCACCGCTTCCTCTGTGACCTCAGATCCTGCAGCTGTGAAATGAAAATAACCATTTCTGTAGCCCAGAGTTAAAAACACAGAGCAAAGCCACGTGTTTGAAAGGAAACAGCCATGTCCCATGCAAGTGGAAGGCAAAGTGATTTGTTCTAAACTTAACAATCCCTGTGCCGATCGCAGGAGAGTAACAACTATGCTGGTAGTCGCTAAACAATTGTTTGTTGGCAGATGTGCCCACTGGGCATGGGAAAGCCTCTGGCCAGTGGACATGATGGAATACAGCCAGGTTCAGAAGGGTAAGAGCAAGACCAACAGCTCTTCAGCTTCAGATTTGACTTGAATCTGGGCTCAAGAAGGCCACCTGGATTGTAGAGGCTCTACCGTAGTGGTTAAGTGCGTGGGCTTTGGAGTCAGACCAGCGAGATACTTCCCTCTTAGGCTATGTGACCTTAGACTAGTTGCTTCACTTTTCGGAGTGTTAGTTTCTCCATCTGTGAGATAGGATAACAACAGCTCCTTGCTCAGAGAGCTGGGAGATAATTAAATGAGATAATATGTATAAATATATGTAAGTGCCTGGTGCTTAAGAAGTGTGTAATACATTTTAGTTTTGAAAAATAGAGTTGGCTGAGAAACACTGAAAGGATGTTAGAACTGGGTGGAACAACTTTCAACAGACCAGGAGGTTCATGGACAGAGTTTTATAAATGTGGCATAGGTTTGTTCTGTGACAAGCAATACTAGCAATGACGACGAGCATTTACCGAGAGCTCGCTATGTGTCCACACGGTCCTAAGCAGTCAGTGTGGATCAGCCTGGGCAAGCCTCTGAGTTCTAAAACTTGGACCACCTTAGGGAGAGTGCTGGAGGGCTGTGCTTTCTGTTTTCATGCATCGCTGCCAGAGAACTGCTCCACGGTTCTCTGGGATGTGTTTACTCCCCCAGCCTTTGGCAAGTTTATAAACCATTGGCTCTGAGACTTTCCACGCGTCAAGCACGTGGGCTCTGTTTTGCTCCAATTTACTTGGGTCTGCAAAGGAAAAGCTCTGACCTTTTCAAAGTTCACCTGAGTTTGTGGAGATGGCTCAGGGGCCTGGGGCCAAGATTAAGTTGGGTGCCCCGCCACCCCCCCGCTCCAGCGGCCGCTCTAAAAGAACTTTTGTCCCACCCAGGACTGCTCTTTTACTTCAAAGGTGCGTTCCCTCCGTTGTGTCCCTTCAGTACCTGGACCCAATCTTGCCAGTGACAGGCATTCATTCAAAACCTTAGGGCAGGTAAGACAGAATTTAGTTCCCATCTTTTTCTCCACCGCCGCCATCCCCACACTGTGCAAGCCCTGTGTCAGAAATGATTGCGTTAATGGTCTGATTTGAAGACAAGGTCCTTTCTGAGGCCACAGCGTGGGAGTCATCCGAGCACCTTTCAGAGGGTGGTGTCATGGTGAAGAGCATGGTCAGGCTGCCGTGGTCACCATTATCTTGGCTGAGTGATGGTGGACTAATTACCTATCTCTCTGCCCTTCAGTTTTCTGAGATGGAAAATGTGGATGATGATAATAGAACCCACTCTGGTAAGATGTCAGGCACTTAGTCCAGTGTTTGGCATAGAGCGAATTATTGTATATAAAACACATGTAAATATACAGAGCTGTATGTATATGTACATACATATATGTCCACGTATAGACACAATATACAAATAAATCCACACAGAGAGCCACTGAGCACTAAGAAGCAGCAACGAAGTGACTTTCTTCATTCTCATGCACCCACACACTGACGTAAAAACAAAGCACAACAAATTAGTGCAAATAAACATTCCGGATGAT